TGTCCACCCCATTCTCCTGAACTTCCTGACAATCTAGCTCTCTCTTCACATGCAGTGCCACCCCCCCCTCCTCTTCTACCCTTCCGCTCTTTCACCCTTCCGTTCTTTCTTGAACAACTCATACCTATCCACTACCACACCCCAGTCATGAGAATCATCCCACCAAGTCTCAGTGATTCCTATTATATCATAGTCCTCTGTTTGCAAGAGAATCTCCAGCTCTTCCTTCTTTTTTTAAAATAATTTTTTATTAGTTTCGATAGGGATAGAAAGACAACTACAGAAAAAGAAAAACATGTAACAGAAGCAGCTACTAACAATGGAGTCCACACTCTTGTTTCCGTTTTAGTTTACAATGGTATAACGAATAACGTTCTGGTACACCTTTCTTCTTAGATAATTTTTATCTTGTCATAATCCTCTTTTAGATTCATAGTTTATTCTTTAGATTTTTAAAGATAATTTTCAAACCTTTTGGAGAATCTCGCCCATTTCTTTTCAAAGTTTCCCTCTTGTTTTTCTAGCAATTATAAAATTAGTTTGTCCATTTCTGCTGCATCTAATAGTCTATATAGTATCTCTTCTTTTGTTGGTATTTCTTATTTTTTCCAATATTTTGCATATAATAGTCTAGCTGTAGTTACAACCTGTAAAATCATATATACATCCTGCTTATTAAAGTTTTCTGGTACAATATTTAATAAGGACAATTCTGGTATGAATGGTATATTTGTGTTGAGTATTTTTTGTAGTGCTTCTTGTATCCATATCCAATATTTTTAACAACTTTACAAGTCCACCACATATGATAGAAAGAACCAGTGGTTAATTTACCTTTCCAGCATATATTCGACATATTTGGGTACCATTTAGCTAATTTTTCAGGTGTCATGTACCATCTATAAAACATTGTATATATATTTTCTTTATATGCAGTAGCTTTTGTGAGTTTTATGTTTACTTTCCATACCTTAGACCACTGTTCTAATTGTATGTTGTGACCTACATTTTGTGCCCATTTAATCATTGCTTCTTTTACAATTTCATCTTGCATTTTCATATCTAATAATAACATATAAAATAGTTGTATATATTTCCCTTCAGCGCACCATACAATTTTATCTAGTTCTATGCGTGTATCATAGAATCCAATATTTTTGTCTTTTACATATCTAGAGTCTACTTGTACTCTTTCC